GCGCCCTGATTGGCGGCCCCGTCCTTTATCCGGGGCGGGGGTGGGGGTGGGGGAGCGCGGGGAGTGAGGGCCCACTGAGCAGGAACACTTCCCGGGTGGAGGAGGCTGGAGGAGGGTAGCTCCTGGGCTTCCAGGACCCGCGGAGCAGGTCTATGAGGAGCCTGAGAAGGGGCGAACAGGGCTTTTGTTCCCTGAGTTCTTGCCTCCGAGCATCTCCAGGCACTGAGCCCGCCCTCTCACACGGTACCCAGCGGGGAAGAGCAGCCCAGTGAGGGTTTGTTGACCCCAAGGTACCCAAGCCACTTGTTTAGGAAGCCTCTGGCTCACAGGGAGCTTCACGGGGGTCACCATGATACTTAAACAAATAAAATCTCGCTGGACATCGCCTGTGAGGAGTTTTGCCACAAACAAACAAACAAAAAAAACCACTTCGGTAAAAGCCAGTTTTCTTTGGGAGAGCTGATGGTGCGAGGTGAGGAGCCTGCCAAGATGCCCGTCCCTGGAGGATGTAACCTGGGGACCTGCTGACCCCCGAAGTCCCCAGCCCACCCTGGGTGCCCCTCAGCATTTGGCGTTCATCTGCACCCACATGTCTATCGTTTTAGTCAAAGGTGCAGAAACCTTCAATGTCAACCTACAAAACCCACCCGAGATGACCTCGAATTGCCACAGTGGAGGAATCCCAGAGTCCTGGCCCAGCATAATATTCTGGGGTGTTACGTTGTTAAGTTCCGTGGTCTTTCTCATCCCTGCCGTTTGTTAAGTCCCTCTGGAGCGCCCAAGGAATGCTTTGCCCTGTTTCCCAAAGCGACTCCAGTCTCATCTGTTTCATGTGTCCCTGGAAGCGCTGTAGAGGCGCACGTCTGGGATGAAGACCCGCAGCCTGCTCCTGCTCTGTGGATTCCTACGCTCTCTATTGCTGTAAAGGGGCTCCAGAGGCCCGAGAAGACGATGGAAAGAAGGACTGCCTCAGCCGTCTGACAAGCCTTTATTTTCCCGCCTGGGGTCTTTCCGGGTCTGCTCCCTGAGCTCTGGAGTGGGACGGGGCAGCAGGACCCAGGGTGGGGGTGCTGTGGGCCTGTGTGGTGCCTTTCGTCCCGCAGGGTCTGAGCTCAGGACAAGCTTGGGCACCTGAGGGCTCTGCGCCCAGCTCCACGGGCCCCAGGGTGCCTCTCACAGGGCTGGGGAGGTTCCTGTGTGGGAGTAAGGAGGCCAAGCAGAAGCACCAAGAACATCAGCCTCAGCTCCAGCGCTGCACGGTCTTCGGAAGAGACATCCGCGCTGGAGGCCCAGCTGCTGTCTGGGGTCCGGCTCCCGGCGGTTCCACGGAGGACCGGCATCGCGAAGGCAGTGCCAGGGCCCAGCGCCTGGAGAGCCGGAGGCTGCTCTCCTCCCCCGTAGCAGCCTGTCTTGGGTTCGCGGACCAAGGATTTGGAGGCCTCCCTGGGGAGCAGAGTTCAGCCCTGAGATGGGTCTAACCCTGGACATTGTGTTGATGTGAGACTCGGAAGAGAGTTTGCCTGGTTGGGTAGATGTGAGGGGTCCTGGTTCAGCCTGAGCCCCTGGGTCTGCATAGGGTGCTTTAAGCCAGGTTGTTCCTGAAATAGCCACGCAGTCCCTGCGTGCTCTGCAGGGCGGAGGGTGTGGCGGGCTGGTTGTCTGTAATCAGGCCGAGCTTCCGGCTCCCTCATCCCGTTTCCTGTGTGCTTCCTGGGTACTTGCAGCCCCCACTGAGGTCAGAAGGCAGGCAGAGGGTCTCCCTAGGGAGGAGCTGGCAGCTGGTGGCTGGCAGTTACGGAGGCGCGGGCCGCCATCTGGGCCTCCAAGGGGTCCCCACACTTTCCATCTTCCAGAGATTTCAACTGTCTGGCTGGTTCACCTCTGTAGTCTGCTCCCTGGACACATGTGTGGACCCGGCGGAGTCTGGGTCCTTGTTCTCTTTGTGGGGTGTTCAGCCTCACAGATGTGGGCTGAGGAAGCAGAGAGTCACTGAGAGGAGGCTGAGGACTTGACCAAGGAGGACCAGACTTTCCCCAGCTTGGGCGCTTGGCCTGTTGCTGGGCAGGGCATGGGTGGAGGATGATCTTGGGGTCCCTTTCTTGCTGGCCCTGGGGAGGGAGTGGAGCTGGCACGGCTTCTGGGGGCCCCTTGGACTGCTTTCTCCTGATGGCAGCAAAGCATTTGACATCCATTTCGGCGGGACAGGCTGGCGCTTATGTGGCATTTCAGAGACCAGGGCACCTGGGCCTCTTTCCAGCTCTGGTGTAAGCGTCAGCCCCTGGCTTTAGGCTCAGAGAGACATGGGGGTCCCCCAAGGGTCCACTTGGGGCCCTTGGAGGAAGTGGCACCCATCTGAGGGGCACCCATTCCCATGCCCACCCCAGGGGTCCCCCAGGTCACGAGGCCTGCTTTCCCCAGACCCATCTTTCCAGGCCTGGCGGGAGGGGGCAGCCCCCCGGGCTGGGGAGGGCACCAGGGGTCAGGGGCTGGGCTCCTCCGGCAGCTGGGCAGCGTACAAGGCCAAGGTGTGGTGCAGGAACTGGTACTGCTCCGCCGTCTGGATCATGCCCCCCCTGTGGGGAGAGGCACCCAGACTGTGAGCAAGGGGTCTGTTCAGGCGGCGGCATCCTATGGGAGGGGCCTACCTCTAGGCCCCCCAGAGAGCTGAAGTTCTAGGTAGAGATGCCTTTCTGGCCGTGAGCTGCAGAAGAAGCATCCCTTTAAGCAAAAGAGCCCTTCCTGTCTCACGGGAGGTGCCGCCGCACCTGTGGGTACTCGGCCCCCGAGAGGCATCGGTGCCCCTGTTCGTGTCTCAGTCCCGGTGACGTGCACGGACCCACCTGTCCAGCCGCAGTTGGCACACGATGCCCAGAATGTCCACCTCCCCTCGGGCCTTCAGCTGCTGGCAGCCAATTCGGGTGGCGATGAAGCAGCCGGTGCGGCCGATCCCTGCACTGGGTGTAGCCAGAGGAGGGTGGGGAGGTCACAGGGGGCCGGGCAGGCCGGGAGCAGGCCCCACACTGTAGAGAAGGTGGTAGGGACCAAGGGGCACTCTATCCGGGCATGGCGTGGGGGGAAGTAGTGCTACCTGCACAGGCTGAGCCTGGCGTGGAGGAGGTCACGCGCCTCACAGCCCCACTCCAGACCTACCCCAGGTCACCCTCCGGTCCCTGGGGACATTTTGGCGGGCGGTAGATAGCGGTTTCCAGCCGGCAGCGCCCACATGGGGCCCCTTCCCTAGTGGTCACTCGTCTTCACAGCTGCTCATGCTCCCGTGGCCCCCTCAGTCCTGCCCAGTCTCTCTCCTCCAGTCTGTCTTGCCCTTGATTCCAAAGTCTTCTCAGGATCCCCTCCCGTGAGAAGTCTTCCCATGTGGACGGCTGATGGGAGCCACTCCTGACCCCCTCACTGTGTCCAGGTGTCCCCTGTGGGGCAGAGGTTCCAGACGCTCTGTCTGTGCCCTGGGCTCTGCCTTCTGTTTAGGGTATGCACTCCCAAATGTTTTCCTTATTTTAAATCTGCCCCCTGCATCTCCCCCAAATCCACTTTTTTGCTTGTGGCTTAAGTATTCTTTTAAATGGCAAATTCAGGCTTCTTGGCCAGTCCCGCAAGCCCCCTCATCAGTGGGCCTGCACTTGCCTTCCAGCCTCGTCTCTCATCCCTGTCCCCCCACGGCCCCCAGGCCTGCATTCTCTAACTCCACTCTCAGCAACCCATCAGTTTCTGAACTGCACCTCTGGACCTTTGCACGTGCTGCTTTGCCTGCCTGGGAGGCTCCCCTCCACTACCCTCGGCTAATTCATCTTCCAGGTCTTAGCTTGGCTTGGAGGTCCCTTTTCCTGAAAGACCTTCTCTCGTCAAAATCTGAGTTAGGTGACTTGGTCCGTGCCCCACACCCACATCATTCTCTCATCACCTGTTCGTTTATCTGCCATCTTCCCCACCAGCCTGCCTTGTTCACAGCTGTCTCCTTAGCACCTAACACTGCACCTGGCAATGAGATTTTCAGTAGATGTGTGGGAGATGAATAGATGAGGTCCCGACACCATGTCCCTCTCCTCCCCCAGCTTAATGGGAGCTGCTTCTCTGGACTGTGCCCGGGTGTCCAGGTTCTGCAGCAGGAAGAAAGAGAGAAGTGCCTGCTTAATGACCTAGAGGTTCCTGTCCAGGTGAGAACTGGGCCTGCCCGGCCCCGCTCTGCCTAGACCCTTCCTAGGAGAGGCCCAGTGGGAGGGAAGGGCTGCCGCAGAGGGGACACGTACCTGCAGTGGACCACGATGGGCCCCGTGCTGGCCGCTGTCTCTGGGCTGTCCTCCACCTCGGCCACCAGTCGCAGCAGGGGCCCAGCTGATTCTGGGGTCTGGTGGTCAGGCCAGGCCGAGAAGAGGATGTGTTTCACAGACCGGCACTCCTCCTGGTACTGGGAGGGGACAAGGCATGAGAACTGGGAACAGGACGAAGGCGCTGTCCACCTTCTCTGGTGCCAGGGCTGAGTGACCCGGCGCAGCCATGGACCCCGAGCAGAGAACCAGCCTTGTCCTGCCCAAGGTGCTCGACCACTCCCTCCTCTGAAACGTGGGGAGGGAACAGTATGAGGGGAGGGTGAGACCCAAGTTCGAGTCCTTAACCTTGAAAATGGGGACAGTGATGCTCTGAGGACAGTGACTCCATGGAGAAGTGCTTTGAGGAGTAGGAGACACTCCACGGTAATAGGCGAGCTTCTAGGCACTTCTGCACGTTGTTGTGCAAACCACTGACCACTGGAGCACCCCCGCCCTCCTCCTGGCTCTTTGGCACAGGTGCCCATGTGGCTTGTTGGCACTGTCCCGCGGAATCAGAGGCTCCCTGAGGACAGCATCCCTGTCCCTCTTTCTCTGGGCCTCAAGGGCATCTTTCAGGTGTGAATTCCAGCAGGTTTGGGCGAGCAAACCCCTGACTCTCAGTGGAGGTCGGCCCCGGGTCCCAGAGGCTAAGGGGTGTCCCGACGTCCCCGCGAACCAGAGAGGTACCTGGACAGTGAGCTGCCGCACAGTGTATTCTGAACACTCTCTCACGTCTTGGGTGCAAATGTGGAAGGGCCCGTAGGTTTCCTCTTCTGTGGGCCAGTAGTGGACACATTTCTGGGAGGGAGGGAGCTGGGAGTCAGAGGGGGAGGGTCTATGGGCTGGAGTGGGGACCAGGGTAGCAGAGAGGGGAATGGGGTCCCCCACCATGTCCACCCCAGCTAGAGCTTGACACCTGCAGATAAAGTGCCCCCGCCTCCGCAGCTGTGGCTGGCCTCCAGGTGGTGTATTTTGGGGTGTACAGGTGTCCTGAGCTGCCCGGAGCAAGGCTGACTGCATTGGGGCGGGGTGCAGCCATTTCTGGGCTCACTGGGGGCAGCGCCCTGGCCGCCTACCTCCTTGCCCTCTCGGAGCCGAGTGAGCATGATGACGAGCTTCACCTCCTCCTGCCATACCATCTCCCAGAAGTCCGACACGGTGTTGGGCATGGGGCCCTGGGTCGCAATGTAGGCCCTGTCCTTCCCGCCGTAGCCCTGCGGCAGAGGCACGGAGGAGGGTGGGCGGTGAGGCCAGAGCCCAGGGGCTGCAGGTTGAGGTCAGGCTGAGGTCGGGGAGCGTGCGCCCCTGGACGCACAGGAGCACAGACGCGCACACCGGCAGCCGCGTGTCCGAGTGAGGGGCACCTGGCTTCAAAGCCTGGTTCTGCTGCCGACAGCCCCCAGCGTCTTGCCTGCAAATCAGGGGTAGTTTCTAGCGGGTGTGAGGTGCGGGCGACACTCGGCAGAGTGTGTTGAGGGCCAGGGCCTCTGTGACGTCCGTCCCCTCCCCCGCTCGCTGCCATCTACAAAGTGCGGAGAAGGCAGGGCAACACTTGTTGAGTGGAAGTTTCACACTTACGTGTTACTTTGTATGTTTAGTAGCAAGATGTAGCCTTTTCTTCTCCCCTTCAGAATCCTCAGCTCCCCACCCTCCAGAGCCAGTGAAATCCAGACCCCCGTTCACCTGGTTTCCACAGGCAGATGGGCGACCATGTGTCCCCAGGCGCGAGGGCTGGTCGCCTCCCTGCACCCGGCCGTTGTGCTACCCACTCTGAGCCGCCAGAGGGCACTGCCCTCACACCCACTGCCTCCCGCCTCTGCTGGCCACCTGCTCCCTGTGACTGAGTAAGTCGACCTTGGTGGCCCTCTGCCTCCACAAAGGAGGGGCCGCGTGAGGAGCAGCGAGGGAGAGAGAGAGGGAGAAGGGGCCGGCCGCATGCTCCCGCGCAGACCTGGGAGTCAAGGGGGCTGGACCGTGCTGCCTTCCATGCTGAGAGGCTGGCAGGGGCAGGCTGACAGGATGGACATAGGGCACCAGAGGTCTAATTCCAGCATCATTTGATGTCTGCTCTGTGCTCCCAGGGGGCATCCTGGAGGCCTGGAGGCCTGGAGGCTCGGCCCCGGGCCATGGCAGCGGGGGGGTTGGAGCCCAGACACAGGGAGCCCAAACCTCCAGCCACACTGGGAAGCGTCCTGGGGGGTCTCGGGACACGGCCCCCCCATCCCGTCCCTGCCAGTGACTCACCCGGATGTAGTTGGCGTTGATGTAGTCCCCGTCCTCCTGGCTCTGTGCCCGGCCCAGACAGACGCGGCTCTGGGGGTCTAGGAAATGAAAAGCAGCAGGGCCACAGGTCAAAGGTGGGAAGAGGAGTGTGCCGGGCTTGCGTGGTCCCTGTGTACAGCAGCTGGCCCGATGCCTGTGGGATTATTTCATGTGCAGACAGTAGGGAGCCACAGAATGATCCTGAGCAGTGGAGTGCTGTGACCCAAGCAGTAGCTGGGAAGGTTAACGGGGTGGTGCTGGGCGGGGCGGCCTAGCGAGGAGAGGGCAGCCCTGAATGCTAGTCTGGAGATAGCGAGGTGCGGAAGAGGGCCGGACCACGAGGAACAGGGAGAGAGGTGCTGTGCAGGGAGAATTTGTCCTGATGGTGACCACGGGATTCAGATGAGCGACTTAACCAAAGTCACGCCTGGGCCCAGACTCAGGCTTCATTCCGCCACAGGGCATGTTAGCCTTTTCTTCCAAGGGGAGGCCTTTCTCCAAGTCTAAGCCGGATGAAGCTAGTTTGTGGGGGAAAGGAGAGGGGACCGGCTCCCCAGGGCCAGCTGGTCTGGACAGAGTGTACCTGGGGTCCAGCCCCTTGATCAGCCCAGGCAGCAGAGGGCGAGGACACTGGGAAGATCAGAACAGGCAAGTCAGGGGGCTGCAGCCTCCAGACGAGGTTGCTGGAGGCGGGTTAGCCAGATAAGGCTGCTTGGATGGGAGAGAGTCTCCCTGGGTCTCATGGCCGGAGGATCCCACACCTGTCTCTGAAATAAAAGAGGATCTGACCCTGGGTGTGTCAAGCCTGCAGGCTCGACCCCTCACAGCTCCAGTCTTGCCACTGTCCTCTCGCCAGCGCTGCCCTGCCTCCGCCCGGGATTCTCAGAGCCCTCTCCTGCAGGCCCATCCTGATGGGGCCTCTTCCCCTGCAAACCTGAGCTGGGAAGAAGGTTTGGTTCAACTGGCTGTGTGACCTTGGGCAAGTTACTCAACTTCTCTGTGACTCAGTTTCCTCATGTGTAAAATGTGGATCATAGCACCATAGATCAACTTCCTGGGGTCCTCCTGGGCAGTGCTGGCCACAGTGCTGCCCTGTTCTTATCCTGGTGTTGTGGCTGCTCCTTTGTCCCCGGCTAGGTCCAGCTGTGGGTATTTCTCGGCCGAGAGAGGAGGCTCCACGAAGGCAGCTCTCCCTGGCTGAGGCTTTGTGTCTTGCCTTCGGAACTTCTCTGGCCCCAGGGACTGCGCCCTGCCCCCAGCCCCTACTGGAGTTCTTACTTGGCAAGATGGTCTTGTATCGGTCCTTGGAGGCGTGGCCAGGAACATTCAGGTCTTCAGGGCTGACGAAGTTTGAGGGGATCTTCTGGCAGGGGAGGGAGGAGTGAACAGCCAACCCCTTCCCAGCCTCCTCTCCCTCCACCTGGCCTAGCAGAGCTGGGCCCTGGGCACTCCTTCCTGGCCTCAAGACATGGGTCTGGATGGGGTGGAGGGCGGAAGAGGGAGCCTGGGCGAGCTCTTTCCTGGAGCCCCAGAGCTCTCTTCCCTAAGGGCTCCCAAATGGCACAGGCCCGCAGGCCATAATGGGGTGAAGCCAGGGGCTGCAGTGGTTCCCAGGGGACCCCACGTTCTTACCAGGAACTCCTCTTCCAGCTGCTTGGGGCTGGGCGGCTGGTGCTGCAGGGTCCAGCGGGTGAGGGGGTGCCCGGCTGTGCGCAGGAAGTGCAGGGTGACCTCGCGGGGCGTGCTCACGCAGCAGACTGGCTCCACGGCCCCCAGGGACCGCACGTCCAGCGTCAGAGAGACGTTGGAGCCCCGCCTGCAGCACGGATGGCGGTGAGCCCCTCGCGCCCGCCTTCTGGCTGTTCTGGGCCAGGGAGGCCGCTCCTCGTCCTCCCCTTGGCCCAGGGCCCCGCCACGCCCCATCCCATGTGCACCAGAGCAGGCAGCCCTGAGCCCGGCTGCCCCCACCTCCCGTTCCTGGCCCTCCTTCTAGGCCCCCACGCCAGGGCTGCTCAAGCTGACCTGGGGTTTGGGGCCCAGGCACAAACTTGGTGCCCCAGATGTGTAAAGGGCATGCAAATGAGCACATCTGGCTTCCTTTCCAGGCTGGAGAGGCAGTGGGGGGGGCGGGCAGGGCTGGGGGCTGGGAAGGACCCCCACAGAAGGTCTCACCTCTCCTGCAGCCGCACGTGCTTCTTGGGTGGTGCCTGGTCGGGTGGAGGCTGGGTCATGGCTGCCCCCAAGGCGAAGGTGAGACTGGCAGCTGTGCTCTGGGACATCCCCCGCAGGCCTGGACCATGCTGGGGACGCTCACTCAGCCATGAGCTTGGGCCTCCGGGCTGCCTGACAGGCCAGAGGGAGGCTGCCAGGCCCAGGCCAGCCTTCTGCCCTGCGGCGCCTCTGTTTGCACTGGGGTGTCTTCTGTTCCCCAGCAAGTGGTGGCTTTCTCACTGTGGGGAGGCCAGGATCTCTGCAAGGAGACCCCGGGCCGTGGCAGTCTGGACAAGATAAAGGGTGGAGGTTGTGGGTGAGGATGGGGAAGCATCCAGAAGGAGGCGGAGGGGGAGGGGCCGCTCGGGCCCTAAGCTGGGGCGCCAGTGAGGGAGGAGCAGACGAGGTCTGTATGAGGGAAGGGCCACGGCTGAGACGGCACCTCTGGGTCTACGTGGGCCTCCTCTGGACAAGAAGGTGGTGGCCTCGTGAGCCTTGGAGCCACAGGGGGCCCGGCATGCAGGCTGCTGGCCTGACTGCTGGCGATCCCACTCCCGGGGCCATGCTGGCTTTGGGGGTCTCTGTCCAGGGAGGTAGGCTGGGGTGTTTCCTTTCTCCTCTGCCCATCCCCCCATCCCGCCTCTGTAACCGTCACAGGAAATGGCCTCACCAAGCCCTTGAGCGACAGCGCGTGGGGAGGCAACAGCTGGGGGCACAAGTTGGGGCGCGGACGTGGCGGGGCCCCTCCTCTGGGGACAGTCCCCATCTTCCAGAGCCAGGGTCCCAGCTTCCGAGGTGGGGTGGGGGTGTTGGAGTTGCTGAGCCCAGGGACCAAGGCGAGGGCAGGAGCGGGTGTGCAGGTGGGGGAGGCAGAGAGACTCTCCGCGGCGGGCGGCCGGCGGGGCTCCTCTGCCCCTGGTCTCCCTGCGGAGCCCTGCCCGCCCCCTCCTGCACATCGGCTGCTCAGCACCCACTCCCCATCCAGGCACCGTGACCCCAGGTGCCCTCTTGCACATCCTCCTCAGAGGGGCCCTCCTGTCTCCCCAGGTCTGCACCACCCCAGGCCCGCAGGACCCCTCCGCCCCCGGTTCAGGGACTTACTGAAGCAGCTGTGTCCCCCGTGTGCCTCTTGCCAGCTGTCTGTCTGTCTGTCTTTGAGGGCTGAGAAGACTTCAGGAAGCCAGCTTCCTCCCTCCGCCCCTCCTCACTGCCACCCACGCACACCCAGCTGCGTTCTGCCACCACCAGGGGTCGGTGCCTCCTGCCTCTGCCCTGCTGGGGGCTGGCAGGCAGTGTCCCAGCATCGCTGCCGTGGCCCGAGGCCCAGCTCCCTGGGAATGGACGAGGCGCCAGGCTGTCTCTGACCACCCCGACCCGATCCCTGAGCTCCTGAGCCCTGTTCCTCCTGCAGCCCTTCTCCCTGGGGTCCTCGCCACGTCCAGCCTGCTTGCTGGGCAGAGCTCAGCCGACCCAGCTCCGGGCTGGCCCGCGTAGAGGCCCAGGTGCTCCTGCTCCTGCTGACCTTGTCCAGAAACTGATTTCCGTTTCTCTGCTCCTCAGCCCCTCACCCTGGAAGCCTGAGCTCCTCCAAGCCTTGGGAATTCCCGGCCAGGCCCAGGCAGAAGTGGGTGCAGACTTGGGATGGGGCGGGGGAAAGGGGAGGCAAGCATCCTTGCTCCACGATGGGGAATGTTAGGCCAGGCTGGAAGGTGGTCCCCAGACCCCGAGCTGCCTCTAGTCTGCACTAGGCCAGCCACCCTGGAAGCATGCAGTGGAGACAGCTGGTCAGAGGCGCTGAGGGCCTTCCCCTGGCCCCAGCCCCTTCTAGGCCTCCTCCCAGAACCCTGCCATCTGCTCAGAGACTTACAGAGAGTAGATGGTCTCTGGCTCTCACACCAGGGGACTCCCGGGTCTCCTTTGCTGCTGGGGCATCTGGAGCCTGGGGTCTGGGGCCGGCCCCCAAATCCAAGACCTCTCTGCCTGGCCTCTGCCTCGCCCGCAGGCCTCCTGGTGGCCAGCGGCCCGGCGGGTGCGTGCTCCCGGCCGGCTCATCTCTTACCTGGTGACATTCCCCACACCCCCCTCACGCCCCCATCTCTGATTCAGCCGTCAAATGATGACAGCAGGAAAGAAATGAGGTGCAATAGGCAGGGGGTGGGCCCGCAGAGGGGGCGATGGGGAGGGGCGGCCTTCTGCTGGCCCTGGGGTGGGCTGATGCGGAGAGCAGGATGGTGCTCTTGGGTTCTGCAGGCCCCCGGCCCGGCCCTTGCTCCTGGCTCCTTCCTGAGCCGCCCCCCAGCCACGGCCCTCCTCCTCTCGCCTGTGCTCCTCTGGGGGATCCCATGAGAGGAGGCCTGGCACAGCTGCTCTGGTGCTGAGACGGGGAGGAGGGGCAGGGGGTCTGGGGATGCCTGGTGACCCTGTGGGCAGTGAACTCTGCCTCCACCGGCCCCCAGCCCCTCCGGTGTTTCCATCAGGGGACAGTGGGGCCCTGGGGATCACATGGGGGGCGGGAGGGGATTGGAAAGAGGGCCGCCCGCTCTGAGCCTTGCTGTGTCAAGAACAGGAAGCGAGGACACCGCAGGGTGGCGAGGAGGAAGCGGGCGCGGCCCTCCCCACACTGTTCTCCCAGGGCCCCCCATTCCTTGGCCCCTGCTGGCAGTGAGCACACTCCTTCCCCCTCCCAAGGCTGGGCCATGGCAATGTGAGGTGCTGGAGCTGAGCTCCTGGGTGGGGAGCAGGACGCGGTGGGCCGGGGGTGGGGGTGGAGGGGGCATAGTCACCTTGCCTACTGCCCGCCTCTCTCCCCTGGACTCCTGTGGAGGTGTGTGACCAGAGCTCGGGGGCACCACCCCTGAAGCTCAGGGAGGGCAGGACTGGCTGGGCGGCCTGGGCCACCCGCTCTGCCCTCTCTGCAGTGGATTCTGCTCCATCCAGGCTGCTGGGGCAAGCAAGGACTGGAGGCCCGAGAGTGCGTCCCCAGCCCCACGCCATCCTGGCTCCTGATGCGGGCCAGCCCGGATGGCTCTCAGGCCTTCGTCACTCCAGCTGCTGACTTGTCATCCAGGGTTGGGTTCAGGACACGGCAATGGCTGAAAGCCAGGAGGACTGCACTGAGCCCTCACTGGGTCACCAGCTGTGACCTGGGCGACCTTCTGCCCCTGCCTGGGGCTCCGGCTCCTCCCCAGGTTCCTCCCTCCCCAGGGCTGCAATGACAGCCTCTCCCGCAGTGGTCAGAAGGCGGTAGCCTCGGCGGAGAAGCCCGCTGTTGGGGGAGGGGAGGGCCGGGGCGCAGGAACCATGGTCTCCACGTCCCATGTCTCAGATGGCCTTCGGGAGGAGGGCTGCCTGGGGCACACTGTCCCCTCCTGTCCCTCCCCAGTTCCAGGGCTGTGAGCCTCAGCTCCTTGTCCCCAGGGCCAGAAGCCCTTCGGAGGGGCAGGTGTGCCCGAAATTCCCAAGTCTTGTTCCTGCAGCACTGGGGGAGTGGGCCAGGCTGCTGCCGGCCCCAGAGCCAAAGGGGCTGCCCTACCCGGTTCCTGAGGCAGGAATCTCGGGGTCTGGGCCAGCTGTGGGGGTTCTGCACCCTGTGCACATCCTGCTCCCCCACCCCAAACCGTTGTCCAGCCCTCTTCCTCTCTGGTTCCTCTCTGGAGAAGCCCTGGGACCCTGGGTCCTCCCACACACAGCCCCCAAATCCTGGACCAGTCCAGGCCAGCTTCTGCCCAGCGTTGCAGGCCCAGCTTGTCCCTGGCTGTGTGGAGGAGGCAGGGACACAGAGCTGAGGTCTGGAAGGAGGACACATGCAGGGGAGGGCTGAGAAGGGCTGGGGGAGGTGTGCAGTGGGTCTGGGCCAGCAGGAAGGCTAGGGCACCCACTGGGCACACCCAGGAGCCTCCTCTCGGGGGGCCGGCCCAGATACCCAGCCCCCACCCGACCCAGTTTCCCTGACACCATTTGGGTGCCAGCTGGTGAAGGGGACTTTCCCATACCTCTCTCTCCGCTGGCTGAAGGACTGATGAGTAAGGCCAGCCTGGTACTGGGGGATCCAGTTTGCTGGAGTTCAGGTCCCTGGAGGGAGGTTTTATGACAGAAGAGGATCCTTCCCTCTCTCCCAGGCCCAGGGCCAGCAACGCGGACATCTGTTCCCCAGTATGGCCTTTCTCCCCAGGGGCCCTCTTGTCTGCCCCCTGACAACGTCCCCGGACCCCCACGCGTGCACATCCACCTGAGATAGCTGTGTGCACCCTCACACTCACGCGTGCTCGTACACACTGTTGGTCCACACACATGCCACGGCTGTGGGCACACCCATCACCTGGCCAGTCCACTGCCCCCAGCCCCTTGCAGCCTTCCCACAGCCTGGCCAGAGGGGCCTGGGCCGACCCCTCCCTGGTGACCTTCCCCTGTGTGGGAGGGAGAGTGGCAGGCGGGGCTGCCTGGAGCCACTGGCCCTTCTCTGCTGGGAGCTTATCTTCCCCCAGTGTTGGGGGTGCCCAAGGCCTGGCTCCAGGCAGGGGGAGTGGAGAGGAGGGGCCGGAAGAGAGAGCTGGGCAGCGCCTGGTTTGCATTTGGAGCCAGGACGCCTGGACAGGTCCCCTGCCCGGCTCTGCCTCCTGCCCGGCTCTCTCCAGAAGGAATCAGCAAGGTGCCGGGACCTTGGGAGGACGCAGGGGCTCTCTAGGCAGAGGATGTGGGTTTGTCTGTGGGCGGGCTGGCCGGGGAAGAGGCGCAGCCCTTGTGGTGCACTTGTTGCTGAATGGAGAGGCTGGGGCTGGGAGGCCGCCTCTTATCTGTCGGAATCTTCTTGCCGCCTCTCCAGAGGCCCAGCGCGAGGCTGCCCCAGGCTGGCTGGGGGCGGACAGGGCTGGCCCCTGTGGCCAGGTGCCCTCTGCGGGCCCGTCCGTGGGGCTGGCTGTGGAGTCTGTGTGCCCCCAACGGGCCCTCTTCGGCGGAGACTCTTGGGGCAGGTCTGAAGCCCCACCCCCTTACCTAGAACCCTGTTTTGCTGTGTCTCTTCCACTTGGATTCTGAATTAGGGTGTTTCCACCCCAGCTCTCCAGACGCTGCCGGAAAGAGCCACGCGAGGTGCCCCAGGTGAGGTGGGAAGGAGGAGGGACCAGGGCAGAGTGTTTCCCCCTCCTCTTGGCCAGACCAAGGCCTCCCACCTTTCACATCAGTTTCCCTGGTTGCTACCCCCACCCCCACCTCATTTGAAGGAGCACACGTGTACGTGAACACTCGCGCACACACACACGCAGCCTGGAAAACTTGGTGGGGCTGCAGGGTCGAGTTTCCAGGCCCCCGTCCGGAGGCCAGCGGGCGCGCTGAGGTTCGGGGCCTGATGGAGCGGGAGGACCCCGGGTGGGAGTGGGGCTAAGCAGGTTCCCTGCAGGCCTGTGCTCCCAGCCCCACTGGCCCCAGGGAGACCAGCTCCCGCAGAAGCCGTCTCGCTGCTCGGTTTCTGTACCTGCGTGTTTGCTGCGTGTCCCCCTCCTCACTTCCTGAGTCCCCAGGGCCCAGAGCTCTTTCCTTTCCTCTGCTGTCCCCTCCTGTGACAGCTGGGGGCCGGGGGGGCATTTCCAGGAGGTAATTGGCTCCAGGCTAGAGGGACCTCTAGGCCAGGCCTCAGAAAGGCTGCTCTGGGCCTTTGAGCAGGTGGGGGCAGGAGGGCCAGGGCCCGTGGGCACCGCTAATCTGGGTGGGGGAGGTGGGGGTGGCGAGCACGCGTCCTTGGGGGCTGGGAGTGGGATGCGGTCTCTGCTGGGAGGAGCTGGGAGTCCCAGGCTCCAGTCCAGCCCCTCCTCACACTGCGGCCAGCTGGGCTATCCCTCCCCTGGGGTGTGAGGGTGTGGAGCCACATGCCTTTCTAGATCTACAGTCACGGAGACTCAAGGCCTCTAGGGCGTGCTCCAGTGTCCATCAGCACGTGGGGCCTCAGGAGTACCCAGAAGGGGGCTCACATGTACAGCTGGTCCATCCACACAGGCACCCAGCAGCGCGCCCCCAGGCAATGTCACCAGGATCTGATCCCAGAGGAACACAAACGCCCCATCCATCTCCATGTGTTGAGAGTCAGACGGCCCTCCTCTCCCGGGGGCAGAGAGCTGGGGGGCTAGCTGCCTCTGTGTGTGTGCCCACCCCCAGCACAGGGCATGTCCTTACCTGGGAAGCCACCTGCGGGCAGAGGGTGGAGGGGGTGCAGAGTGAGAGGTGAGCTGGTCTGCAGCCTGGGAGCTGCGATCTGCCCCCTTCACCAGGCCCTGCCAAGCTGGGCGCAGTGGGGTCAGGGCCCCGGGTGGAGAGGCTGCCTGCCCCCTGCTGAGATGCAGCGCAGCCGCCCTTGCCTGCCTGCCAGCTCTCAGGGCAAGGGGCAGGTTGAGGGACTGGCTCCTCCTGCGGCTCTCCCTTGCAGACGTCTGTCCATCTGTCCATCAAGATGAGGCCCCTGGTCCTGTTCGCTGCGCTCCTCTGGCTCGGAGGCTTCTTGGCGCAGGTTAGGTGGGCACTGGAGGTGGGGGAGGTGAGGGGACGCCCTGCTCCCCAGGCCTCCAGGCCCCCTGCTGCTCCGTGGACCCACAGCTGGTCTGCTTCAGGCAGCGGTGCTCCCTCCCAGCCCAGACGAGGACAGAGTGGTCTGCCCCTAGCTGCCGGCCTCCGCATCTTGGGTATCCTGCGTGATGCCCCGTGGCCGGGTCTGGGGTGCCAGATGAGAGGACAGCCGTCTCTGATCCTGGCTGGACCCATAGTGTCTGCCCATAGCCTCCCACCACCTCCTCCCCACAAGAAGACGAGTGTCCCTCCCTGGAAGGGGGTCCAGGCGGGAAGAGCAGAGGTAGGAGCCCTGCTGGGGGTGCGGGGAGTAGGGCGGGGCCATTTCTCCACCCAGACCCTGTCTCTGCTCTGGCCTTTCCTGCCTTCCCGCCTTCTTTAGGGCAGAAGGGGTGTGCGGGGAGCATCTGAACACACCCTTCTCCCCAGGACCACCTCCAACCGTGAACGTGAGTGGCCAGGGGACGTCCGCCAGCCTCGCTCTGAGCTGGGCAGCCCCAGGGCCTGGCAGTCCCAGTCACATACTCCGTCTAACCCAGCTGAGCCCCCTGGGCTTCCCCGAAGGGCAGCAGCTCCAGACCCACACCAGTGCGTCCAGCTTTGAGTTCCAGGACCTGGTGCCAGGAAGTCAGTACCAGCTGGAAGTGACGGCCCTGCACCCTTGCGGGCAGAACACCACCGTCGTCCTCACTGCCCACACAGGTGCCTGGCCAGCAGGCAGGGGAGGGGCTGCGGGCACTGATGTGGACACCCTGGAGGGTCGGGGGACAGGGTGCCAAGGAGGGCGAAGTGCCCGAGGACCATGCCTGGCACAGTGGCCTGTCCAGAGCACTAGCAGCAGGGGCGATGCCCTGGCCCCGAACGTGGTGCCTCTGCTTCCGGGGCAGCCCCGTCCGCTGTCCAGGCCCTGCGGCTCCACAGCTCTGGGAGCCCGTTCAGCCTGGAGGCCTCGTGGGGCACTGCCCCCGGTGGGCAGGATGGCTACCAGCTTCTCCTCTACCACCTGGAATCCCAGGCAGTGGCTCATAACATCTCCGTGGCCCCGGGGACCCTGTCCTACAATTTCAGCGACCTCTTACCAAGCAGCGAGTACCTTTTGGAGGTTACCACCTGGGCCGCCAACCTCCAGGCAAAGACCAGCACCCACCAGTGGACAGGTTAGGCCAGCACTCGGCGAGGCCCCAGGTGGCAGCCAGTCTGGGAGGGGGCAGTGCAGGGCTGTGTGCCAGCGCAGCCGGGCCTCTGGGCTCTGGCTGCTGGGACACTGTTCTGGCCCTTCCTCCAAGCCCACGGCTCTCCCTCCAGCCCCCGAGGCTCCAGGTCAGCTGGCGCTGCGTGCCCTGGGCACCAGTGCCCTGCAGGCCTCCTGGAACAGCTCTCGGGGCGCCGCCTGGCTGCATCTCGCCCTCACAGACCTCCTTGGTGGCCCCAACCTGATGGCAGGGATCAGACGGGGTGTCTCCAGTCACACCTTTGCTCACCTCTCTCCGGGAACCCCCTATAAGCTGATGCTCACAGCTGTTGCCGGGCCCCTTCAGACAGTGGGACCCATCGCCACTGAGTGGACCTGTGAGTGCTTGAAGCAAAAGGGGGACATGGCAGGGTACAGCTGGGGGGTGAGGGCCCAGGACCCTGCAGGGAAGGGTGTGGCCCGGAGGGAGCGCGCTCCTGCAGGAGATGTCCGTGGTGACAGTTACTGTCACTGGAACCCTCCGTGTGCCAGCCCCGTGCATCATCTCATTTACCCTCCAAAACAGCCCCATGTAAGTCTTGTTATCCCCCTGCTACGTTGAGGGGACCAAGGTTCAGAGAGAGGGACCAGGTCCTGAGACTTACAAGCGTCCAGGCTGGGCTGAGCACACAGGGACTCTGCTGCATTTCTGTGCAGAGCAGCGCTGTCTGGCGCTGGTGAAGAGTGGAGAGCCAGGCCGCCTGGGCTCTGAGTCCACTGCTGCCACTCACTGGCTGTAGGTCTCTGGACAGATTGCTCACCCTCTCTGAGCTTCGGTCTCTGCACCTTTAAAGGGGGCAAGAATGGCGGTGTTGGGAGGAGTGTGGGATCTTGCACCAGCACACTCGGTCACTCGATGTGTTATCATTTGTTACCGTGTCCACCTGGGTGTGACCTGGCCCTGAGCACAGAGGGGAGCTGCATATGGGTGTGACTGTTCTCACCAGTGCCCAGGTCACATCCTGCTCCCTTCCCCACAGATCCCTCAGCCCCCCTGGACCTGCTGCTCATGCCCCTGCCCCCAGGGCTCTGTGCCAGCTGGGAGGTGGGGCCCGGGGCCCAGGATGGCTACCTGCTCAGGCTGAGTGGGCCAGTGGAGAAGACCATCACTCTGGGCCCCAGGGCCCTTAATGCCACGTTCTCAGGACCCCTGCCAGCCGGACGCTACACTCTGGAGCTGAGGGTTCTGGCCGGGCCCCATGACGCCTGGGCCCAGGCCAGTGCCTGGCTGGAGGGTGAGTCTGGGCTAGGGTGGAGGAGGGCGGGGCCCTGCACCAAGAGGCAGGTGAATCCTCCCTCTCCAGGGACCATGTCCTCTCCCAACTCTGCAGCCCAGCCTGGACAAGGTGACGGCCCTGAGCTGCCCCGGGACGGGCAGGAGACCAGCGGGGGGCCTGGGAGCCAGACCATGCTCTACACCGAGGGAGCCCCAGGCCTTCTCAGAAACATCTCCGTGCCACCCGGTGCCACCCCGGGCACCCTCCATGGGGCCTGGGGGCCACTACCAGGCGGACGTGGTCTCTTCTCTGGGGAACACCACCCAGAGCCTCCCAGGCCACACAGGTGGGTGCCAGCACTGTGTCGCCCGCCTTGGGGCTGGGAGGCTGCGCCTTGGAGGTAGAGACCTAGGTGGGGGAGGGCTGAGGAGGAAAGGGAGGGGCTTCACAGGGCCCCAGACATCATATGCCCCCCTTACCAAACTGCTTCTCTCTCCAGGATCCCTGGAACCCCAGTCTCTGAAAGTCACTGGCAGGGGCAGCCCCTCTGAGCTGGCCATTGGCTGGGTCCCAGCACCGGGGCAGCGGGAAGGCTACAGGGTCAGCTGGCACTTGGAAGGCAGCCAGAGGTCACCAGGTGGTCTCGTCGATGTGGGCTCAGATCACTCCAGCCTGACGCTGACGGGCCTAGTGCCCGGCTCCTGCTACACCGTGTCTGTGTGGACCTGGGTGGGGAACCTCAGCTCCAGCGTCCAGAGGGCCGGCGCCTGCACCCGTGAGTTTGCGGCTTCAGCTCCGGGAGGCCCACCCTGAGCGGTGGCAGGGTCGGGGGCGGTGCCCTCCACGTGCTCCGTCTGGTCGTGCATCTGTCCACGGGGGCCCTTCCCGAGTCTGTCTGCAAGCACTCCCCCTCCCCTGCCCTCTGGGCGGCCAGCCACACGGCCATCCCTGCAGTAAGTATGTAACCGGCGCCCCATTTCCTGGGTGTGGGTTTAGGTGCTGAAGCTAAAGATTGTGAACCAGGCGGTCTCGGGGGAAGGCTGACCAGCAAACAGTTGGTTTACGCGTATTGATTTTTTTTGTGCAGCTTTTAGTAGTTTTTGACTTTTTTGTTTGGGGGCATGTAATCAAGCTTATTTATTTAACTTTACTTTTTGTAAATGGAGTGCTGGGAACTGAACCCAGACCCTGGCGCATGCTAAGCACATGCTCTGCACACTGAGCTCTGCTCTCCCCTGCGCGTTGCTTTTCCTGTCATAGCGTAAACGTGTTCAGTCTCCTTGAGCCGCGTGAAACTCTCTTCTCGTGGGTTAAAATCGAGGACTACGGGGAATTTTATGTGATTCTGGCTAATCTTTTAGGGTTCAGAGAGGGGCCACCTTAGGAAGTCAGGGATGTCTTCCCAGAGGGAGAGAGAGAGCTGAGAAGCAGGTGGGTCTGAGCAGAGTGGGCAGAGGGGCCTTACTGGGCAGAGGGGGCAGGTGTGCACCCAGGCCCTCGGTGGGGGAGTGAGAGAGGGAGGGAGTGAGCTTGCAGGGGCTGAATGTCGGCTGAGCTGGGGACCCTGGTCCTAAGGGGTGTGAGACACAGGTTGGGTGTGGCTGGGGACCATGTGGATCAGACGTCACGCCTTCAAGTTGCTGATGGTTTGTGAAGGAGGCAAGGAGCAGGCGTCAGGGTGGAGCCCTGTGTCTTTTGAGAGGTTTTCCTGGGGAGGAAACGAGGGTGGGCTCCAAGTCCCGTGGCTGCTGTGTTTGGAGACCACCGAGCGGGGTCAGACAGTGGGGGAGGAGGGGCAGGGACTGGGTTGTCCCAAATCTGTCTCCCCCTTGTCCTGCAGTCCCTGCACCTCCTGCCAACTTGAGCCTGGGTCTGGCTGCCCAGCCTCCTGTCCTGAGTGCTTCCTGGAGCCCCCCACCGGGGGGGGGGGCAGGGATGGCTTCCTCCTGCGGCTTTACCGCCTGAGGCCCCCAGCCCTGGAGGGCCAGGACACTCTGGCCCCCGAGGCACAAAGCTTTTCCTGGGCCCGGCTGCCCCCAGGCACCGCCTTCCTGGTGTGGCTGGCTACCCTGCAGGGACTGGATGAGAGCAGTGGCGCTAACGCCTCCGGCTGGACGCGTGAGTGTCCCCTGCCGGGCCCTTCCTACTGGCCACACGGGGAGTGGGTCCCCAGGGCTGCGCGGCCCCCGACCTCCCTGCAGTCCGGAGCGGCGGCGGGGTGACTGCTCGCTCAGTCGGCACTGCGGGGGCTCGGGCCCCGCGGCCTAGGAGGAACTGGCAGGTGCCTGCTCCTCAGCAGGCAGCTCCTCTCACTCGCCACCCGAGCCGGTGCTTGGCGACTGGGTCAAGGGTGGGGGAGCAGGGGCCCTTTGCGGGGGTGGGGCCCAGGTCTGGCCTGCGTTCCCTCCTGCCTCGGTCACTGGAGGCTGCCTGAACCGAATCCACGTGGGCGGCTTAGGCCGTTGGAGCCCTCACTGCCCTGAGCAGGGGTCTGAGACCCAGGGGTCACAGGGCTGCTTTGCCTGAGGCCTCTCTGGGGCGTGCGGACGGCCGCCTGCCCCGAGTCCCTCTGGGTGTGTCGGTCCTAATCTCCCTGGGATCAGGGCCCACCCGACGGCCTCGTTTTACCTCAGTAGCCCCTTTAAAGGCCTTACCTCCAAATATAGTCGCATTCTGGGGGTCAGAACGTCAACATGAATTTTGGGGGGACACAGTTCAGCCCCTGAAATCTCGCTCCTCTCCCCACAGCCCCCCTCGCCCCTCCTGTGGTAAATGTGACCAGTGAAGGCCCCACCCAGCTCCGGACATCCTGGGTCCACGCTCCCGGGGGCCGGGATGGCTACCAGGTGACCCTGTTCCAGGCAGGCACCCGGGTGGGCTCCAGCACTGTGGGGGCGCAGGTGGACAGCGCCAGCTTCTCAGCTCTCACTCCAGGCACTGAGTATGAGGTGGCGGTCGTCGCGCAAGCTGGGCCTCTCTGCGGGGCGGCGGCCAACACCTCGGGCTGGACGTGTGAGTGGGAGTGGGGAAGGCCGAGGTGGGGGTGGTGGGCAGGCCCTCCTCTGGGACCTCTGCTCCTTCCTTCAGCGGCACCGCAGCGCCCCCAGTCCCTCTCCTCACCTGCACCCTGAGTCCTACGTGAGGTCAGCGGCCACCACTCTCCTCCCCACAGCCCCACTGGTGCCCGTTGAGCTGCTTGTGTCGATGCAGGTGGGCAGTGCCGTGGTCAGCCTGGCCTGGGCCAGCGGCCCCCTGGGGCATGGTGTGTGCCGCGCCCAGCTCTGCGAGGCTGGGCTCCTCTCCCGGGAGCAGCCCCTGGTGCTGGGCCAAGCCCACCTGGCCCTGAGGGACCTCACACCTGGACGCAACCTCTTCCTGTCGGTGCTGTGCCAGGCAGGGCCACTCCAGGCCTCCACCCACCATGTGGTGCTGCCTGTGGGTATGTTGGTGCCTGTCGCGGGGGGACAAAGTGCCCCGAGTGCCGTCCATTCTATCCCAACCCCGCTCGTCCAGGTGGGCACTGCGCCCACACCGCCCTGGGAATGCCCCCTCCCTCTCGATGGGCGGCATGTCCAGAGGAGACCTTGTTTCCCCACATGGCCGCTGCCCACATCCAAGGTGCCAGAAATGCCTGGTCCCCCATGCCTGCTGATTTTGAGCCCCTCAGGGGCTACGCTGACTCCCACATGACACAGAACCCTCAAACCTGCAGAGCCAGACCCCGTGGAGGACGTGCAGTGCCGGCCCGAGGCCACCCGTCTGACCCTGACCTGGACAGTGCCCCCGGGGGCCGTGGACACCTGCCTGGTGGTGGCAGAGCAGCTGGCAGCCGGGAGCAGTGCCCAACCAGTCTTCCAGACCGACACCTCTGGGGATGCCCTGCTGCTATCTGGCCTGGAGCCCTCCACTCCCTACCGCCTCAGCCTCTCTGTGCGGGGCAGCAATGGCCTGTGCAGCCGGGCTGTTACCCTGGTGTGCGCCACGTCTGCCCAGGGTAGGCTCCCTCCTCGGCCTCAGAGCCCCGCTCCCTTGGTCTTCCTCCATCCTCATCCGCACCGCTGAGCTCCAGCCCCTTCCCCTGGCCTTCCGCAGATTGCCCACTGTGGGCTCACGCCTGGGAGCCTGGCCCAGGGGTCCCAGTTCTGGTTCAGGGCATCTGCCAGCCACTGTGGCAGGCGCGGCCCTGCCCTTGGAGGCTACTGTCGGGCCTCACTTGTCCTGTCCTCCCTAGCCTGGCGCCCCCCCAGAGCTGGCCCCAGCGCCCCAGCTGGAGCCCGGTTTGGGGACGGGCGTGATGATCACACGGGGCATGTTCGGCAAGGATGACGGGCAGATCCAGTGGTGTGGCATCATCACCACCACCAGCATGTCGCGTGAGTCCTGGGCACAAGAGGGGGAGGATGACCCTGGCTGCTGCCCAGCAGGGGTGGGTGAGGGGTCCAGGCGCTGACCTTGGCAGGATGAAATGTCTGAGGCCGGTGTGAGTCGTGGTGCAGGAAGCAGCTCCAAACATTCTGGACGATGGGGCTGATGTGTTATGAATGGTGGGAGCACCGTGGAAACACAGGGAAGCCCCTCTGCTGGGGAGCGAGGCCATGGCCCCACTGCCCTCTCTGCCTTCCCTGTCCCGGCCCCTGTCCCAGTGACTCAGCCGCCCCGGGAGGCTGTCAACCACACGTGGTACGACCACTACTATGGAGGACACGACTCCTACTTGGCCATCCTGCTCGCCAACCCCTTCCACCCCGGGCCCTGGGCTGTGCCGACCTCCTGGAGGGTGCCTGTGGAGATGGAGGACTGCAGCCGGACCCAGGACATCTGTAACGGGCAGCTCGAGCCAGGTTCCCAGGATCGGTGAGGCTGGGATACTGATGGGGACCCCAAGGCTGATGGGAGGAGAACTTTACAGTTGCATTTATGGGTTGTTTATGCCCTCTGTCAACCAAAGAGCTGGGCTGGGTTGCAAAGAGAGAGCATGTGCTGCTCCAGAAGCATCCGCAGAGTCATTCTGATCGGGCTTCCTGGTAGGCAAGGCAAAAAGGAGTACACCCACCTGTTTCCACGGTTCTTTCCTCTGCAAAGCAAGGGGATGGATTCTGTCTTGATGCCAAGGATACTCAGGTGGCTGTTTCTAGGGCCTCTTGCTCTCAGAATAGGGCAGGAAGAGGCGCGGGGGTGCTGGCTGTGCAGTCTCAGGGCCCCGAATAGGTGTGGGCGAAACACTGTCTGTGTGCCTGCTGCTCATGCCTGTCTCCTGGGAGGGCTGGGCCTGCTGCCTGCGCCTCTGCCCCAGCGGGAGGGCCTGCGCCTCTGCCCCAGGTTCAGTGTCGTGGCGTTCACCCAGTACAGCCCTCCCGAGACCCTCGTCTCCTTCTCCGCCTTCTCAGGTAGGTGGCACCTGGCTGGTGTCCGGCTGGGTCCTGGGGGTGGGGTTGGTGCTGAGGGGGTTGGTTCATCCCCAGCCACTGGCGGGAGAGCAGGGCTGGGGCCTCAGAGCCAGGTGGGGGTGCTCCTGGTGGCAGCCCTGGCCGGGGTGGGCTGAGGGGCTGGGATGGGTGGAGGCACCGAGGAGACGGCTTGCTGCTGCCAGGATCTGGCTCCCTCCAGCAATGCCCCCCTCTGCCTGCTGCCCCTGGCCACCGAGGTTCTGGAACAGTGCTGTCTGGTGGACACGGTGGCCAGCCGCAAGTGGGGACCACACATGTAAGTAACATTCCCAGTAGCTACGTTAAAAAATAAACAGTTGAAGTTAATCTTAGTAACACTTCATTTAAACCAAGATATCAAAAATAACACACCAACATGTAACCCATTTTTAATGATTAATGAGGTATTTTACGCTCTTTTGTTGTCAGTAAGTCGTTGGCGCCCTGTGTGCATTTGACACTCACAGCAAGTCTTACCTTGGAGCTGCTGTGTAGTCACAAGGGGCGTGCGGCCACTGTCCTGGACAGCACAGCTCCAGAAGCCCCGCCACGAGGCAGGGGGCCAGGCCTGCCCTCTTCTTTGCCTCGAGGAAGTCCAGGAGGGGCTGGGGCAGGGGTGCTGCTGGCCACTCCCAGTTCCCATCCAGGACGGGCCCCCTGCAGCCGTCTCTGGCCTCGGTTTGGCACCTGGGACTTGCGCAGGATGGGGAGTTGTCGCTGCGCCCTCCACCCTGAGGGTCCCAGGTCCAGGGGAGGTTGGCATGTTGCCGCAGGGCAAGGGTTGAGGTCGCCCGGTTCACCCGCCCCTTGCCTCCCGCAGAGCCCCGGGCCAGTGTGTCCCAGGCGGCCATGCCCCTTCCTGCAGTGGTGGGCACCGTGGCCGGCTGCGTCCTCTCCCTCTGTGGGGTGCTGGGCCTGCTGTACTGGAGGCGGGCGAAGGCGCAGAGGTGAGTGGGTGGGGCTGGGGCAGCGGGGCTGTAGGAGGCTGCCCGGGCTGTCTCCCATGGCCCCTCATCCTCTGCAGGGCGGAGAAGAAGCTGAGTTCCCCGAAGCGGACTGCTTACAACCTGTGGTGAGTGGGCTCCCGCCCTGGACCGGGAGCTGAGCAGCACGGCCCCGCCTGGCCTGGCGCTGTATCCTGAGGGACCGCACCCCTCACCCCCCCCAGCCACGTCCTGCGTCAGCTGCCAGCACACCCTCCTCAGCCAGCTCTTCTGGGCCCTCCAGCCTCTACTCCAGACCCCCGGCCTTCCGTCCTTACCTTGTCCCGGCTAACCACTTGGGTGGTTTCAGGTCAAATCGCTGCCTTTTCCTTCTTTCTCTCCAACATCGGATCTGCCGTCTACCCTCTGGTCATCCCTGCTCTTTCTGGTGGCCTCACACGGAGCTCCCGCTGTGAGCACGTGTGCGCAGGCCCCGGGCGTAGGGGTCCTGTCTGTCCTGCCCCCTCTGTTCCCTTGTCCACCTTTCTGCCGGGGTGGCTGGCGGCCCTGCTGTGTGCAGACAACCTCCTTTACGTGGCTTCACTTCAGGGCTGGGGCCCAGGTAGCCAGGCTGTGCAGCCAGGTCTGGGGTCCCTGGTACTGTGCCCACCTCCCACCAGAGCCCAGGGCAGGACTGTACCCACCAGGCCACTGCCCACTCCCTCCCTCTCCCCAGGCGGACCCACCGGCCCATCCCTGCCCACAGCTTCCGGCAGAGCTATGAGGCCAAGAGTGCCCATGCCCACCAGGCTTGCTTCCAGGAGTTCGAGGTAAGGCCTCCGCGGCCCTGGACTCCATGATGCACTGCCCCTCGCTGGCATGGGGGCCACAAGGGTCTGCCTCGGCCCCACCTTTCAGGAGCTGAAGGAGGTGGGCAAGGAGCTGCCCAGGCTGGAGGCCGAGCACCCAGCCAACGCTGCCAAGAACCGCTACCCACACGTGCTGCCCTGTGAGTACAGGTGGCATGGGCGGCGGGGCTGGAGCTTGGCCCGGGGAGGGGCTGCAGGCGCCCGGCTGAGCACACCGCTTCTCCCGTCCTCAGATGACCACTCCCGGGTCAGGCTGGCCCCTCTGGACGGAGAGCCCCACTCTGACTATGTCAATGCCAGCTTCATCCCGGTAGGGCCGCCCTCAGGGTCCTCACGGGACACACTGTCCTGCTGTAGGGGCAGCTCCTATCAACCAGGGTCACCAGCTTGTGCTTCTTTGGGTCAACACGACGGGCATGTATTCAGGGTCTGCCTTGTGCGGGCACTGTGCTGGGCCCACCAGAGGCAGAGCCAGGCCACTCATGGTCCCAGCTTCAGAGGACGTGTGTGTATGCATGTGTCACATCCATCACGTGGGGTGGCAAGCGCTGTAATAAGGGACACGTGTAGTGCTCAGAGCACATTGAAGAAGAAGACGTTTAGTCGACCCAGGAATCAAGGAAGACTTCCTGGTAGAGGGGGCATTGGTTTCCTGAATCCTGGAAGTGAGGAAAAAGGGGTGGATGGTGCAGCTGGAAGGAAGCCGGAGAAGAGCCAGGGGTTGGGAGGGGTGGGGACGAGGCAGGAGAGGGGACTGGGACTGGCTGGAGGGGGAGCTGAGTGCTGGATTGGGGACTCGGGTGTACCTGGAGGAGACATGTGGTTGCTGTGGGAAGGGGTGGTGTAGAGGGTGGCCTGGGGAGGCTGCTCCAGGCCCGTCCGTCCCTTGTCATTGTCCCTTCACGGTGGGGCTGTCTCTGACACCCTCCTGGCTTAAGTTGTCAGTGCACGCGTGTTCATGTGTGTGCACACATGTGCGCCTGTACACGGAGTCCTCTCTCCCTAAGCTCACACGTGGGACACTTACAGCTGGGTGCTGGGGACCCCAGTTAACGTGTTCCTCCCCCCTCACAGGGCTACACCCACCGGCAGGAATTCATTGTCACCCAGGGGCCCCTCAAGAAGACCCTGGAGGACTTCTGGCGGCTGGTGTGGGAGCAGCAGGTCCACATCATCATCATGCTGACCGTGGGCATGGAGAATGGGCAGGTGAGCACACCGCAGTTCCTGGAGTGGACGCCAGGTGGCGGATTCTCCCTGCAGGACTGGCCCGGGGCAGGAGGGTGGGTCAGGTTGGAGATGGATGGGTGTCCCCAGGCCTTCCAGGATGGGGCAGGTAGAGGGACCAGGGACTTGGGCAGACTCAGCGTCCACGGCCTCTGCTGTCTCTCCTCGTGTCCGCCTTGTCCCGCCCCAGCCCAGGAGGCAAAGGCATTTGGAGGCGATGGGGGTGAGGAGGGCCCCAGGGTGGGAGGCAGAGAGAGGACACCATTGCCTTAAACACGCCCAGGCCTGGCTCCATGAGGGGCCCTGGGGCAGGCCTGTTGAGCCCCCGGGTTGGGCAGTGAGCCAGGCCAGGCCTGCAGGAAGGCCGTGAGCTTTGCACAGCAGCCTG